GAATTGACAATGCAAATATCCAGATGAAGACAGATGAGAGGAGAAAAGTTTACAAAGCTGGTTCCTTTTTCTACTGTCCCCACTCAAAACAAGGAAAACACATTTATGGAGGTTCCAGTCTGATCTGAAAATGAAAGGGAGGAAGGTGATCATTGCAAAATCAAGCATTAAGGTTCTTATTTATAATAATAATAATAATAATAATAATACAAACATATTTATGCAGGATTGCTGCTTCAGTTTTAAGAAAAAAAACTGCTATCAATGCAGGTCCTGTAAAAAATTAAAAAATATAAAAATAAAAAGATTTAAAATATAGATAAAAATCAAATTACAATATTACAAAATAGTTTCACTAAACGAAAGATCGAACAGCTATAAATTCTAAGAATTATCAAAAATTATTAAAAATTTTTGCACCTTTGTAGAAAAAAGCGCGCTTGGTGCATTCTAAATTAATTTTTTTCTAAAATAAGGTCATTATTATTTCTAGTTTTGTGGCGGTGAATGTCACGGTTTCTTACATTGAAATAATTAGAAAGGTATCTGGGAACTCTCTTTGCAATGCACTCATCAACAAATCTTAAAATGTATGTCCGTCTTCTATAATAGAGAGGTTCCAAGCCCAGTTTAGTCATAATTTGATCAGTTGATAGTTTTGAGGCAGCTTTGAAGTAGACGATCCTCGCTGCTCGTCTTTGTAGTCGTTCAATCTTGTCACTGTTTCCTTGTCCACATTCATGCCACACATTTATAACATATTGATTATTGTAGACTGATATCAAGAAATTAAATTGCGAGTACCAGCCAGCTGAGTTATAGTTTGAGTTTTATCAAGTCCATTACTTTGTTAAATTTAGAGTTACCTTGTCTTGAGAGAGGGAAATTGAGGAGCTGTAATTACTTATCATCAATTAGGGACCACAAAGAAAAATTTGTTTCTAGAGACTTTTGGAGGAGAAGGGGAGAGACTTGTGACAAGCTGGCAGACATCTAGATGAACTTTACTGCTAAATGGGTTACAATATAAAGTGCTCAGTATTTGCATCAGCAATGGCTCAAATTTAACTTTGCTATGGCATCAAGTTCAATCCTTTGTGGTTTCCTTTCTTTGTGTTTATTTTTCAAGTTATGTTACACAAAAGAACACAAAAATGATAAGGAATGCTTTTGAATATTAAGAGCCTGGCATAAGCAAGAAACCAAAACTGTTTTCTAAACAGTACAAAGTTAATTTGATCTTTCAATGTTATTTAATTTTAACCATTAATAGAATTTGCTGTTTAAATTTATCCCCTCCATTGTTTTGGATATTGTGTGCAAAAAACAAACATTCAGTAAAAACTGTCCTCTCTAGTAGTCAATTATCACAAACTACATGGCATACTGTGGTTTGATTCACCAATGTGGCAAAGGCCTTTCACTTTCTATCCACAACAGGGGAAATAATTTGTAAAATGTAAGCCATTCTACATCTTGAGTGTATACTTATTCATCCATGTGAAATTAAAGGTTACTTGAAATAAATGTGAAAGATTTATAAGATTTTCAGACCATTGATAACAATTACTGATGTTCAGATTTGTAGTACTTAAAGGTAATGATTTTAGAGGAAATAGTGGAAGAAATTTTTGGATCTGGAATTTTGTTGCAAATATCTGTTTAGTCAGTTAAAAACTCTCTCTAATCCTTTTTCAAGAGTACATGATTGCCACACCAGAACCTTTTGTGTTCTGTATTGTGCACCATGTTATGATTATGGTTTCAATAATAAAAGGTGTTGATGTAAGAACTCAAAAGTATCTCAAAAAATATCTCCGCATAAAGAAATAAATTGTGGTTATGTACTCCAAATAGCAGGTCAAACCAGTCTTCTGTGAAGAAGTAACAGAAATTGCCATTGTGATTTTTGTGGATGGAGAGAAACATCTACCAAAGCAACCTTATTTTACATATAGGCAACCATATTTACTGTTAACAGAAGTCTAATGAATGATAATAGTGTTTAATATTAATTATCAGCTTCAATATAGTCCAAGCTATACTGATACTATACATGGTACTTGTGGAGTACAAGATTTCAATTATTGTATGTCATTTGCTAATGCCATGCAGGCTTTGCTAGGACAAAATTATAATTCCTCTCTTTTAACAATTCTTAGTAGTACGGTAGGTTTTTACTGTAATGGTGATGGTAAGTTTAAGATAATTGATTCTCATGGGAGAGATTCATATGGTATGCCCCATCCTCAAGGAACTTGTGTACTGTTAAAAGTTAACGCCTTAAATGAGCTAATAAACTATTTTCAAGGTCCTTATCAAAATCCAAATGTTTTATTTGAACTCACAGGTGTACATATTAATGAAAAACAATGTGATATGACAGATATTTCTGATCAACAGTTGTCAGCTGTGCCCCTTGAAGAAAACCATGCAGATGCTGAAATTACAACCATTCATATTCCCTTGTTATGCTGTATCTTGCTATATCTTTTTATAGTATTTGTTTTTCCATTATCAAATATTGTGGATATTGGAATTCACAGACTCTAGATAGAACACTGACCATGCAAACAAGTTTAACAAAGGAAAACTCAATGGCAATAACCATTCACTGACTATCAACAATTTCCCAAGGACACTTCAAATATGTGATGCAGATATTAATATTGCCTTTGATTTGGAGAAACAAGGAATTGATTATGCTGTACATCTCTTGGTAGCAAATTATTGCTTCAGAAGTTAATCACAGATAAAATATGTCCCGTCCAGCGGATTTGGAACGTCTTACACTGGATTAGCACGCCAAACTTTGAGAGAAACAAAGGTACTTGCTATTATGTAGATCATGGTTATTTATGTCTTACAGCACTGGCGGTTGTGTCCGGTCTTTAGGAGATATTTATGTATGCTTTCCTTCATCTCCGAAGCATTTTCATCGATAAGCAAAATGTAACGCGTACATTTCCTTGTTTTGCCTGTATAATTATCCAACCCTGTTTGTTTACTTCAATTGGAAAAACCAGAAGATAGTTTTGCAAGATGAAATCGGGATCTTTTGAGTTATAATCAAAATAAAAAATATTGTCCTACTGACTTTAGCTGACCTTTGAGTGTACACTTTCACTTCTGGCTGTGAAAACCGTGACACAAATTCTTCAGCTGCTGTTTCTTTACAAGGTTTCTCAAAGGAAGCAGCAAGTGGGGCTGGCAAGGATTCCCCTATAGAACATAGGGGTGAATTATAGGATCCTAAAGAGAATTCTTTATATCGAACCAACAAAATTACAGATCACATTACACACCGACATCAACGAATTCTCTTTCTTTAATACGTTTTTCGAATTCAGGCAAAGGTTCAGACAGGTCAGTGTCTTTTATGAGCTCAGCTCTGGCTCCCGAACAACTGGCTTCCCCTTAATCTTTCATTAGATGAGAAAAAGATGTTTTTGGAGAACTGATAAAGCTATAGTTATTTAATTTTCGAAAGGTTTCCTTGTAAATCACTTTTGTACTGTTGACCTCTTAGCTTCGAAGGGCTCAACTTCTCCTCGGTCGTTTCTCAGTTCGGCCGCCCACTTCCAAATCCTCGTCGTTTGCCGACTGTATGGGTCCGTTTTTTACTTCAGAGTAATTTGCTTCTGGCAGGGCTTGAATCGTCGGTTCAGCACCAAGAATAAGTTGTCGCTTTTTAAGGCCCATTTCAACCATGTAGCTTTTCTCTTAACAATCGGGAGAAAAATGACTGCACGGAATGCTCTCTCGGAACGTAGCCCTTTTTTTTCCTTGTTTTTGAAGCTTCAATTCTATCATCTACAAATTCCAAACGGAATACTGGTGTCGATTGCTAAACTATTCGGTTTTTTTTCTTTTAGCTCTCAATGGTGGCGTTCTTTCGGAGTTTTATTTTCTCTCTACTTTGATGTAAAACAACACATTACATGTCCGCTTGTGGGTTTGAATTTATCCTCTCGTGTTTAAAAAGTTTGTATCCATGCACTGGTGATCCTTACAATCTTATTGGCGGTGCGATTTATTCATGGTTGCCCTAGTTTTGGTTCAGAATCTTTTTCCAAGCCACTGAGACAGCAACACTAAAATAAATTAACCAATCACATTTCAGGACTTGTTCTAAGTAACTAATCAAACAACATGTAAATGGAAAACAAAGGTGCCATAACGTTACAAATTTTTGCAATTTTTGTCCCCAAAACTTTTCTTTTTCTTTAAAAGGTTCCGATTGATATTTTTTAACGAATCGTCTCAGCTCTGGATAAATAGAATATTTGTACTGACAAAAATCTTGTGTTTGGGTGATCAACTTTTGCGAGCTCAAAATGGATGTAATGAAGTGGTAACTGAACTTCGCGTTGTGAAATTTTTTCGGGTCTGAAATCAGTTTTGGGCCTTACTCGCAACGTCTCCTTAATCAGCGATAACACGAATGAATGAGTTAAAACACGGTAAAGTTATCTGTTTTTGTGTTTGTGCCACATTTGACTTAAGAGAGTCTCTAATAGAAAACCACTTTTTGGTGTTCGTGTCGGTAGATAACTTTTTAGTAATACCCATGAGCTCATCCAACGGTATACGTAGACTCAACTGCAGCAAAATCTACCCATCAGGTAGCCAGTTCCTATTTGCGAGATCGAATCAAATAGACGTGGGAACAAGCAAAGCGCGATTGACTGTGTTTGCCTCACACTTTTTTTAGCTTCTCAGATGTTTAAATTACTCAAGCATTCACCAAAAGGATGCTAGCGCAGATTAGTTTGTTCGAGAAATCAATTAAAGATTCGAAACGCACTCCAGCAGTGTCCCCTGAAATTATCAGTGCCGAGTTTCAAATTGGTCCCGTTTCGTAAAAATAAAGCAATAGTCGTTGCCCTGAAATCTTCAGCCAACTGTTTGTTAGTTCAAAATGAGACGTTGGAAACTTCAAGATAGATATCAAAAAACTGGAAGTATTCCAAATGTACGATACACTTTACTAAGTCTCGTTCAAGATACACGATATTCTTTATTAAGTCCCGTTCAAGATTCAAAAGTATAGTTTCCTGAGTACATTAGCAGCTAACTAGTTTCCTTACCATTCTAAGAATATCAAAACCGCGAGACCTTAATCTAATTTTCAGATTAAAAGAGAGTATCATATAAGAACTCGACACTAGCTGGTGGACAATGAAACGTACTATAACACTGACATAAATTTGAAAGTCACTTATTTCCTACCACTGGTAATAATCATTGTACGAAACACTATTTCATTTAAGTTTAGCCTGGTTGTACTCTACAAAAGCTAAAAGCGAATACATTATATCATCCTAAGAACTGGTAAAAAAAAGACTATTTCACACAGGCGTAGCCTGGTTGTTAGTATAATATAAGACAGAGGAATCTCACCAAATAGATTAAACTTTTTCTCGCCAACAGTTGACTTTTCTAGTTATAATCATTGTTTAAAACACCACTATGTTCAGGCTTAGCCTGGCTATACTTAACAAAATCAAAAAGATTACTGCAGATTTTTTTGGTTGAAGATCAGTCTGTGCCCCATCCATATATTGGGCAACTAATCGGTAACTAACTCTTTTTTTTTTAAAAAAAAAAAAAGGAAAAAAATTTCCTTTTACGTTTTTCACATAGAATTCAAGTATTTATTCACTCAAGGAAAGTTTTGGCCTACTGATATGCACACAAAAGGCACTAGGCCAACAACCGCAACTAAACATGCTTATTACCAAACAAGGAACGCATGCGTGCCAATCGTCAATTGGTGCACTCTAGTAACAGAACAGTACCATTCACTATGATGGAGACAAAGAGTCCACAAAGATGAAATATCACTGGCATACTGTGTTTGGCCTAGATTTACTCACAGAATTAGAGATTTTCGAGCGTGACTTAAGCAGAGTAACAGAAAATCATTACATGTAATGTTATACATGACAGCGATAGGAACAACTGATTGCCTAATACAAAACAAATGTGACTAATAATTCCTGAAGCATATACTGTGAAAATTCTTCAGAGTCTTATCGAGGTAAATCTCAGGCTTTCTTCAACTACCGAACAAGATTCTAGAGTTTTTGAGCAAAAAAGTGTGATGTTCACGCGTACTCTCCGGGTAGGTATGCTAACATATTACAAGATGGACTTATCCAAGTCTATCGGATACAGCTGGACCATTACTCACAAGACAGGTATCAACTCGCCTTTTCAAATGGTTCAAACCACCTTGAAACATTTGATTAAGGCCACCAAGAGCACGGCGAAGAGGCAATACATTTTCTTCATGAGTGGAGAGGACTACGCGTTGGTTCTCGACTTCATCAACTACATCTCGTATTTCATTCTTCATTTTTTCCTCCAGGAATCTTCGCGATTCTTCCAACTTTAAATAGAACTGATCAATTGCTGTCTCCATCCGCTCTACGCAAGAGCCCATGTGGAAGGTAGACAAGCGCGCTTTACAGTTGGATGAGCTGAATTTTTTTCTTCAACTAGGGCAGATCAGATCAGAAGTATCCACAATTATTTTCAGGAACATGGCGTCGTCCCTGACATATGCGTGATTGTTCAGCTCAGCAAGCGAGCAGAACATTGGACACCCACTGGCGACGTTTGTTTCTCTTCTTGGCCTCTGGAAGGATGAGCTGTTCGAATCAGGTCTGAAGGCGTCAATCACGTGCTCCACGTTACCCTGATCTAGCAACATGAAGGTAACCTTCTGTCTGAATGGCCAGCGAAGTAGCGCGTCATACTCTCCGCGCATGATCACAAAGAAGATCGAGATGTGCGTACCTTTTCCCATTCCATCCCCGTTTAGGTAAATGCGGGCGCACATTTTGTAGCCGTATCGGCTGGTGAAGAAACATGGGCTATAGAAGGAGACTTGTTGTCCGGTCACCGCTTCATTTCGTTTGCGAGCATAATCGGAAATCCTCCACAAAAGCTGGCCATCGTAGCTTGAGAATTCTTGCTGTTTTACGTATTCCTCCAAATCAGCCAGGGTTACATTCCTTAGTGCCAGTGTGCGCTCAATAGATTCAATCCTTCGGTCAGGCCTTCTGGCGCTCTCCAGGTTGGTGTCAAGTTGCCTTCTAATGTTACCCACATCACGTCTAACTTCCTCCATAGTGCGATTGTTGCCGACTAGAAGAACCTCGTGGTCAGCGGTTCCGTTCTCAATATTCGTAACTCTCCTTGTACACTCATTACTTGATAAACTGGCGTCATTTGGAACTCGCTGTTCCAACGATGCTGCCTCAGAGACAGTACGTGATGCTAACTCTCGCTCCAAAGTAGTTGTGTAGCCAGTGACTTCTTGTAGTTGATTCTGTATATCTTGGATAAGACTTTCGCAGTTTGTCGATAGTTGAGGGCTCCTGAACATGATTCGCTGGTCACGGGTCAGACTGGCCACCAATTCTTTACTCGTTTTAATTGCAAATTGAAGCGCCAGAACAATGTGTTGAGTATTTGCCTTCTCCAAATGTTGTTTCATTTCCTTTTGGTTTAGAATCTGTCAGATCGCAGAAGGTACAATGTATCACTATAAGATGCTATGGAACAGTTGACTGCGACAACAAATTAGTTGAAATCCTGATTGCATGACTCATTTTAACTACATAGCAATAACCTTAATTTCGAAATCCCTATTGTGACTGCATAACGAATTGCTTAGTGAACTGTGTCTTGTCTCATTCAAATGTTCGTACGTTGAATACAAAACTTTTCATTCCTGACGGGTGTCGAACTTAGAACTCTCCGCCACATCAGCTCCTTCTCCTGAGGTAATGAGCTGTATAGTTAGCAAGCTTTAAAAAAGGTTGCAGAGTTTATTAATTTTTTCCTTTTTGTACACTAAACGCATTGCGTTCATCGAGTAATGCGCCGATCAATTCGAAGCTTCAGCATCCCCTCCTCCCCTCCCCAGCTCAATACTGGGTAGCACATTTGAGCGCAATATTGGACCAAGTGGGGGAGGATTTAAAACGATTTAATCTTCAAAAGTTGAAGAGATGTTGAAGCTTCGAATTGATCTACGCATAATGTAAACACAACTGCTGCATTTACTTGGTAAATGCCCTCTCTCTCTTGTTTTTATCTGATTGCTTAGGGCATTATTAAGAACCTTTTTTTAAAGAGGTGTGTGGTGAAAATTTTACGTCATTATTACTTAAGTACTTATGCAATAACTAACAACAGTCTCACTCACAAAATTCGAGTGTGTACTTACAACCGCTGTCGAGCAGCCAATACGAGAGAAGGGGCATGGTCCCTGCACGGCTTCACAGTCGCCTAGGAGAGGATCCTGGTGATCTTTCAACTTCAAACAGAAGAATTATCAAATTTAATCACAACTGTACAAGCGTACCAAAAGCCCAAGTTAGTCACAGAACAACCATTTTTTGCAACGGTTAATGCAAAGCAGGTCTCAGTTTATCCCCATTTGCTGCACGATGAATCTCGAATTCAAAATAATTCAACTTTCTGTAATATTTATGGGGCTCTAATCTGACTTTCTGTTTCTTGTACTATCTGGCGACTTCATTTTTGCATTTGGCGGCCACTTTTTCTTTGATAGTCGCCAAAAGGCGACTTGGAATTTTTTTAAATTTCGAGCCCTGCATAGCATGCCTATGTTTTATTAGAAGGTATGTGTTCTTACTTTGCCTCGAGGAATTCCATCTTTATTGCATTTTTCACATATAACTGGATATGCAGGACACTCTGTATCCTGGTGTTGCTGTATAAAAAAAATATGTTTCAACAAACTATCGTATCGATGACGGGGAGAGCAATTTTTAAAGCTAAGTGACATAGGTTTGAGGTCCTCAAGTCCTCAAAAAATTGCCTCATCGGAGTTTTTATGTGGTTGAGCAATGTGTGGTTCTAAGTTATTTTTGATAAGCTAATTAGCAATGACCATTATTTCATCCATCACCTTTAGGAGGTGCTCGTGGAAAATTATTCAACAGTGGACCTCTCAGGTAAAGAACTAAGCCCTGGTTTTACTAAGAGGGGTTCGACATATTGGACTTCAGCGGATCACTTGAAACACGACGATGTACCTCGGATACAACTTTTTAAGAATTGATCCAAAAAAGTGCTACCATGCAAATATTTACAACCGTAAGTCCTAGATTATATCAATTCGATCAATTCGGAGCTTAAAAGAAGGCTTAGTGTTAGATCAATCAACCCAGGTAAGAGGGTGGCAAAGGGGGGAAGGGTTCCAATTACACATCATGCAGAATTTTTCTATTAAATCACGCATCACGGATAATATTTTTAACCAATCACGCGTCACGTAAAAAAGTAGTGAGAACGCTCAACTAATACTGTAAGATTTAAACCTGTCGGATGTATTATTAGAAATTATATTGCATCCAACGTTTTCCTTCTGGAATGAATTGCGTTTCACAAGGCATATGGCTTTTTACTTGACAAATAAAGACGACTTACTAGTTGAAACTAGACGCTCCAAGAGCGTTTACTCGGGTTTCGTATCGGATTATAAAATCGTACTTTACAAGTATCGAACACAGTAAAAACGAAGAGTCTTGATTTTTTCAACATCTGAGGTGTTCGTCTGGGCATCATAGTCATCATAGCTCGGTGTTCAAGGAGTCAGTAATCGTAGTTTTGTCAATGTTTTCGTAGTTTGAACTCTTATATGGTTTAATGGTTATCTCGTGGGAACTAGTATGGACTTTGTTAATTTGGCTGTCTTTCAAGCTGTAGAATTCGTGGACCGACCCGTGGACTTTCTGGTCCGTCTGGATCCCACGCACTACCACGACCACGAGATCGACAAAACTAACACAGAAGGTCATAGTCCTTGTGCAAATTTTTGCTTCATTAACTTATGCCTATTGTGTCACGATTGCTTGGACCTACCACGAAGATCAAAGACATCCAAGGTCACGCAAAGCTTAACAAAGGACAGAAAAGACCAGAAGACAGTGTCACAGCTGCCCTGGTTTATTGATTTTTGTTGAGACTCTATTTACTTTTAATGTCTAGTACCCTTCTAGGTCAAAGAGCGTTCACTTATCATGGAAATCTGATTAGTAAGTCTTGTAAATCACGCGTCACGCGCTTGTAAAATAACAAATCACGCATCGTGTTGTGATGTTCGGTCCCGCATCACGCGGATAATTTGGGTACAATCACTCGTCACCCAGCAAATTTTGGGGCCATCACGCGTCACGCAAAAACCCTTTGCCATTCTCAGGTAAAAGGTTTCATATCCAACAGCGACTAAACAAAGTATCCATGGTCCTACTTATTGCATTCTTTTGATATGATAATCTTGTCAATCATGTCCAAAGAGCTTGAACATGACATTGGAAAATGATGTGAACACTTAATTTCAAATACCCTTGTTCTTTTTCAGAATCGAGTTGAATTTTTTTAGCTTTTTTAATCAAAATTTGCCCCCTGTTTTGTTTCTCATTTAAAATGTTAATTACAAATTTAAAACTAAGAGGTTGAACTCTTTTTTTAAGCGATATTGGATTTTTTACACAACCTACCAAAGTCCCACTTCAGAAAAATATCCTCAGATTTACAGTCATCGGTTCAACAGTTGACACATAATGTTTTGCTTTTAGGCCATAACGGGACAATAATATAAAGCAGTATTACCTCTAGATGGCATATCATTCCTCTCCACGTGCACCCTTCATCCTGATGGGTACAGCCAACCCTCTGACGAAGAATTTCCTTCTTTATACATTTGTCAGGGAAACTTTCATCCTGTTAATAAATAATTAATTCAGATAGGCCTAAAATAAAAGTGCTGCCAGTACAGGGATTCCTTCCAGATTTGTTTTGCTTTCTGCTTAAAAAAAACATAACATTCTCTTGGAAGTTAAAAAGTAATTTTACAAATTACCCTTCAAAAAGGATATTTAAATCTTGTATTTGATGAAATAAACTGCCATTTCTCACACACAATTGGGCGCAATGTCAAGCTGAAACCTGATACCCCCCTACTTTTATTACAAAGCATCAAAATAGTACTTCAGGTCAGTCAACAAGAAAAATGCTCCCTTGAGTACATGCCATCGACAAACTTGAGAAAATCAACAAACAAAACAACTTAAATTGCCTCAATAAAAACCCTGTACCTCCAAAGGCTTGATGCAACAATGAAATTAAGAGATAGCTACATGACATTAGAGCAATAAAAAACTACCCAGCTTGAAGGGTGGATGGGTGGGAGGGAGGTAAGATAACTGCGATCAGCAACAAGAACACTTGTAAATTACAACCAACCATCTGACTAGACCCCTGCAAAGTAGACCCAGACTCCCAAATGTGTGTGAGAAAAACATTTTCTGCTTCTTTTGTTCTTAAGCCAGCCCCTGCTTACGCAAACAACTCTGCATGCAGAGAAAATCTTGGGTGTAACTTGAACAAAGAAAGCAACTCTTGCAGTAACTTGCACAAAGAAAGCATCTGAAATCAATTTAGAGCTTTTGCAATAGCACTTTAAACAAAACACGTAATATAGCAATCATAAAGTTATTATAATTACCTCCACAGACTGAGTGTAACATTTTAAGATTTCTGCTACAATTTAATTAGTATAGCTCACATGATAAATATTTATCAACTTGGAACACAAAAAACTATATGTTAATGGAGTAGCTTACTCTAATTCTGAAATCACTTTCTTTCAAGCTGTCTGTTTGAAAAAGGCAATTTTTCAACTAATGTTTCTTTTTTTTTTTTACCGATACACATGTAACAGCAATTTTCAATTGCTTTCATACAGGATAAGGTCAGGGTGTCAGTATTTAAGGCCAGGTTTAGTGGCACAATTTAATTAAGGCAGACAAGATAAAATTTGATTGTGTGACAATGCACCAACAGCTTTGGGTAGTACCCTGTTTAAGTTAACATTTACAATTCAATAATGGCCAAGACCACCAGCTGAGCTAGCCCCTATGACTGATTTGGTTGAAAACACTTGGGTTACTTATGACTTAAGTGACAGTCTCAACTCTTTAACACCTTGGCAACTCTGCAAGCCTGTTTAGGTAAAATGTCACAAGTTCGTAATAAGCAATTTTTGGAGGAGGTTAAGCATGATATCACAAATTATTAATGCCAAGGTCTGAGTTATCTGCCAAAGGTAATGGCTGGGGTTGACAAAACAGATATAAGGTTTCATAATTCATGATATAATGTGAAAACTGAATTCAATAATTGTATTATGATACAAAAGAAGGCACCTCTCTTAGAGTTGTCAAAAGTTTGAGAATACCTATAAACTGGTGAGGCCAGGGGCTTGGAAACTAGGCAGACTTTGAACTTGACATGATATCCCAATATCTGGGATGTTACTAAAAGCTGGAATGGGGAATGGGGAATGGGGAATGGGGAATGGGGAATGGGGAATGGGGAATGGGGAATGGGGAATGGGGAATGGGGAATGGGGAATGGGGAATGGGGAATGGGGAAGGGGGAATGGGGAATGGGGAATGGGAATGGGAATGGGGAATGGGGAATGGGGAATGGGAATGGGGAATGGGGAATGGGGAATGGGGAATGGGGAATGGGAAATTTAACATGGGAGAATAATGTTTTTACAAGATTTACTGTTTTTCATGTGGTTTTTTATCTTCTATAAGCAGTGATAATCAATATCCAGTCTTTTTTTACTCAAAAACATTCAATGTGAAAAACTTACCAAATTTTTTCATGACTGCTGCCAAAATTTGGAAAGTGCAAAAAAATTTGCCTTTTTTTCAATTTGCAAAAAATTAGGAAATATGTGAATTCACTTTAGTGTGACCCCACCCTAATAGAGGTTTTCTTCTCGGTATCCGCCGCTTTCGCCCCCTATCAAGTTTGCCCCTTCGAGTTCCCCCCTACCTTATACCGTGATCACTCCCACACTTTCCAAGTTCACCCCCAGATTGAGTCATGTCTAAATTAGTTGCTATCAAACATTGCAAACAATTTAGAACCAAGACAAGTTTTGAATTTTAATTGACTGATGGCCATTTTGAAAGTTTATATGTGCGTGGGAGCTAGAGTGATGAAAGCGTGGTTTGCGATCCTGGTTTGCATTTTCTCAAGTCTGGTTGCTATGACCTTAAAACAATGAAGTGTGCAACGCATTCTCTCAAGAAGTCTTAAATAATCAAAAGCGTGATCAAATCGTGGTTGCGTAAATTCTTCAGTCTTAATTTCATAAATAAAGCTAAATGAGGTACAAGTCTAACAACTTAAGCAATTCTGTCGCGATGAAAGCGTGGTTTGCATCTTCTCAAGTCTGGTTGTTACGATCAACACATTTCGTGTTTGTTAGATAAACCCAGGTTGATGTACATCTTTTCCAGTCTGAATAATAAGTTAAGCAATGTTGTTTTGATTAAGTGTGGTTCTCTCTATTACAAGTTCAGTGTTCACAGTTATTTCTGGCAACCCCAGATCCCATGCAGAGTATTTAGTTGATTCCGTCAACCCAGTTCCCAAGCAGGTTCCACGCAATGCTAGTGCCTTTGTCACAAATCAACTCATCTGGATATCACTCAATCAAGGGGCAAACTCAACTTGATGGGGTGAAACTCGAAAAGTGTGGGGGCAAACACGGCATAAGGTAGGGGCGAACTTGATAGGGGGTGAATGCGGTGCAATTCTTCTTGTCTACACACAAAACACCTGCCCCAGTTTTCCAGCCAGCGGCTGCAATGAAACTGAAAAGTCATATCTAAGAATAGACTCACAACCTTAAGGCTGGCCAAGCTGATGATCAATCTAAAAGGTTGCCAATAGTAATTTGCATTAATGTTAATGGTGCATGATGCATCAGACTCCTGAACTTTCATGGGATTCACAAAAAAAATAAGTGATCATATCCTTTAGGTGTGAACAAACACCTGAATGATTTTAATTAAAATCATTCCCTCCTCTGGAAAATTAATTGAAATTATCATAAAATTTTTTCACGACTCAGTAAGCTTCAGATAGTGTCTTAACAAAACAAGTCAGGGAAACTTCTTTCCCTATCATCAATTCATCACATTTCCTAAATTTTACCCCGAATTTTTTTGAAAGAGAACATGGATATCGATAATGATCACTGAAAAATATATGTTCTATATTATAAATAGTATGTCTAGAAAAAGTAAATAAATAATAATTTCCCATTTTTAATTTCTCATTTGATTTTTGCATTTCCCATTTCCCATTCTCCATTCCCATTCTCCATTCTCCATTCCCCAATCCTGCTTTTATATCATGATAACTCAATATCTGTTACACATATTGGGTTATCATGTTAAGTTCAAAGTCCCTAAAGTATCATATCACACAATTGTATATTGACTATATGCTCTTGACCAATCAGAGTTTTCATAATGAGTTTAATGGATAATATAATTAACTATCTGAACAAAATTCTAATTGATACCTCTCGAATGACTGTTCCATCTACTACACAGTGCATCTCTGTTGTAGATCTGTTCAGAGAAAAATAAAACAAAAAACTATAAAAAAAGATAACAAGAAACCAAACAGATAGCAACATTTCAGTAACACCACATAATAATCTTATAAAAATTAGCTAAGAAAGAGTTATAATCATACTAATTGCTAACAGGTCTTCAGGTTCTCTAAACTAATCTCTACACTAATCTCTGAGCTGTTGGAGCTTATGCAAATGCAATTCTTGGTACACAGACTTGGTAAAAAATTTTTAAAAAAAGCTGGATTATTTGTATGATATAATTTGTGATTAAATATTAAATTTCATCTGACCAGCTGATTGAATATCAAAACACAGTCATGATCCTTGCAGATGATCTGCCAATTTGCAGAAAAGAAGCCTGAACAATTCCAGTCTTCAATGGGATTAGAACCCATGCCTCCCAGATACTAGTCTGACACTACTACTGTTACTGAGCTACAAAGCTAAAAGTTGGAAGCACAGCACATTTTTTCTTGCCTATTTTCTGGAAATGTACTTTTTGCTTAAAGTGGCAATTTAAAAGTTAGTTAAAGGCTTTCAAAGATTTTCAAGTCCAAGAAAGATAAATTACAATATGATATCAAGACACAATTTACTGCTTGCATTTAAAAATTATCCAAAAAGGAATACATGTAATTCAGTCATTTTTTAAGTCTTTGAAGTCTTAATTGAACCATAAGATAAAAGATACATATCCTGTTACATTAACAAGAAACTGTGTAATGATAATTACAATAATATACTATGGCCAAAATTAAATTATGTAATTATAACAGGTTGTGTTCAAAAATTGGTCTATTCACAAATATGTTCATGAAATGTTCTGTGTTAATCTTTGGGCGGAGGCAAACCTTGCGACGGAAATTATATTGCTGGAGTCTAGGCTTAGGCAGAATTTCATTTAACGGATCATGGCTTGGGGCCCTGGTTCCACAAAATAATTTCTTATCCTGCATATGCATTATATCCTTGACATTCAATGAACTGAAATATATCGCCGCGTGTAATAAAAGTTCTGTACTGTGTTTAGATCGCGTTCATACGCACCAAACACTGAAAGGCCATAAGTTAAATTAGGTAATACAACTGTCTTAAAAAGGAGATCTATTTCATTCTGGTCATATTGTTCCTTTCTCAGAGTTCTTAATATATAGAGGCACTTGTTAGCCTTAACTAGTTTGACCTTAACATGATAACTAACCTTAGAATCACTCTTAAGTGTGACTCCGAGTAAGCACAATTCATGATGTTGTGGAATGCAATTGACTGGATTATAGGTGTCCTTGTTCGATTTCTTTCTAATTACAAGCTCTTTACATTTACTAGGATTACACGACATACAGTTCTCTCGCGACCAATTTAAAAACTCATTCACTAAGGTACAGAGGTATCAGTATTGCCTAGTACCGGTGCAACAATTGTCGAATCATCAGCATATTTGAATAACGCAGGGAAGCCATCTGAAGCTAGTCAACCCGACACATGCTTACTTACCTAAAACAACACGACTGGCAATACAAATGTCCACATGAAGTCTGAATCGGCTCTCTCAGCACGAATTTACATAGTCTACAGAAGAACTTGTCGTCGAGCTCAGCAGAAGAATTTAGACGAAAACCGGGCATTTCTCTCTAGCAGTGATTCCTTTATACCAAATGAAGTTCAAAGAACGGTGGCAGCCTCAATACTGCTTTTTAAATCGAACAAAGAAGACGCAACACATAGATGGGAATATGTGAACTTCGTATGCTTTCCTCAATCCACGATAACCTCCACTCAACACCACCATATTGGAGAACTAACTGGTTTAATTCAAATATGATAGACATATACCTATAACTTGGGGGTTTCCCCCCTAATAAATTAGCTCTTCCTATTCGTCAAATCCAAGTGGATGGCCTCTAAACGAATGAAATGTGTTACAGAAGTCACATGTTTGATTGTAGTTTGAGAAAGTGGAACGGGAAGAAGTGAAAGCATACGTAACAAAGAAATACATAATTTTTTTGGGCGCCATATAAACGAATGAAATGTGTTACAGAAGTCACATGTTTGATTTGTCGTTTGAGAACGTGCAACGGGAAGAAGTGAAAGCATGCGTAACAAAGAAATACTTAATTTTTTTGGGCGCCATATATGGTATAATTTCTGCCGTGACGTCACTTTCCTACAAGCAAAGAATCATACGCCAAGAAACAAGTAAATTTGTTCGGCGCGTTCGGCGCCATTTTGGCATTTTCAGTGCGCTTTTGCGGGTTTTCAACTGAGCGATCGACACCTTTCTGTGATACTTCTTGGAGAGGGATGAAAGAGTATGACAATTTTACCACTATTTCTAACCCTGTGGATACTCCTGGAGTTTGCTGGCTCTTCGGATGAGGATATTTTAATGCTCAAAGTGCGAACAAAACGCGAAAAAAGGCCGAAAACTTGAAGTTTGAGATTTGATTTGTTGACGGTCAAGATGTGCGCATGAGACTACAAACCTTGAAGGTTAGGCTTAAGATGTTGATTTCTTACTTCTATGAATCACGAAGTGGTTTGTGGAGGCGATCGTGAGATATTCGTTACGATAGTAGACGGTAGTTTACAATTTGATCTTATTTTACTTCAACTTTGAAATAAAATTACGTTAAGTTCGAGGTGGCCCCCAAGCTTCAAATCACTTCAAATAACATCTTCTCTTCTTTCTCTTTGTAGTCCCGTAGGACACGAGGCTTAAAAAAATGTTCCAGCTTCAGGATTGAGTAGCTCTTTCTACAACCTTCGGCGAATTCGTTTTTGGGAGTTCGAGGTAGATTTTCCAAGTCATGGCTCACAACTTTCTTTGGCCTTTTTGCTCTCCAAGTCTGTTGTACTTGGTATGTAGGCATGTGTCTTAACAACGTTTATAGTCTTGCCTCGATCATCTCCGGTTTTATCTTATTTTGTTGCTGTGTTTTGGCGAGAATTTTTCTGATTGCCCTTTTGGGCTTGAAGTGCCAACAAGAGGATAAACTTCGGTAGAACTTGTTTTATCACATGGCCCCCAAATCCCTCGCCACTGTCAGTTCATTGTTTATTTATTTAGCTTTCGGTCTAGTCAGTTCATTTACCTCGAAAAAATGCGTGGGCTTTGTATTACGAGTTTAAACTGGTGTTGTTTTCTTCATGTTCATGTGTTATTCAAAACGGATGGCGTCAGCTTCATTCTATCTTGTTTATTTCAGTGGAATACTTCTGCCATTCGGAATGAAATTGAGTCGAAGTGTACTATAAAACTTAAAACTTAATAAAATATTAAAATCATCTAACTTTCTCTGGTTCTTAAAACATGAGATGAGCGATACAACAAATGGATAATTACTCAAGGGGCTGGAACTCCTTGTTTCTTTAAAATGTGAACTACAGTATTTCTGTCATATTTTTAAAAACGAATTTCGTGTTAAAATGTCTTCAAACCATTTTGACTTGCATTTCACTTTGCCAGATAAGTCTTCATCCTTCAATTTATTTCTTAATTGAGACTGATGGTTGGAATTAACTATTATGTTCTCTGCTGTTTAGGGAGATGTAAAGTGACCCCACTACATATGGTCGATGCTATTGACAGAAAGGATAGGTGTCACATTTGCTGTGGCAAGCTGGCATTCAAGAGAATGTCTTTAGTACCAGAAGCTTACTACTGGTATAAATTATCAATCTTTTGTTCCCTCCACACAACTTGCCTCAACTAGCTTATGCTATATGCAACTTGTGTCCATACCTTTTTTGCAACTATAAAATTACCAATAAAGTTTTTTGAAAGTTTTGTCCAAATTTCATGGGAAAAGAATATGAGGAGTGATCAGGTGAAATATTGTCCTGTTTCCTTAAGAGTGTTTGAGCTTCGAGTCAGAGCTATAACATTTCTTAAGTGACTGATTTTATGATTTTTCTGCCTTAAAATTAGCACAGCCAAACCCCTGGCTTGAAAACTATTAATTTCTGCAAATAGGCATCCAAGCCAACGCCCATTACTGCAGAATATGCAATGTCAAAGTCCCCTTTTGACACGAGTCTCATTTCTTGAAAATCTGATAGATGTAAATCCATTTTCATAAAGAGATCAACAAACCTCTCCACATTAGTTTAATCTAACCTCATTTAGTCTTAATCCTGAAAAGAAAAGGCTTTTGGAAATATTTTGTTTTTTATCCTCACTGTTAAATATTAGCCTTACTGGTTCTCTGTTGTTTGGCATGTGTAAGAGTCTTTTCAGATCATCAATTTGTTGCTCAACTCTTGTAATTTAATAGGCTGGAGAATAATGTGCAAAGAGTGAATACAATTTTGTTGTGCAGTTGAAATGATAAATGAAAGTGATTTTTACTGGCTAATAATTGATTTATTTAACTATTCATCTTACAACTGGAAGCCCAAACTAGTACTTGTTTTCATTCACAATTTCCCCACATCATCTATCATATCTGATGATATTTCCGAGACTAATGATTGAAAAGACTTTCTTTCTCTGATAAAATCCATAATTATTCCTTCATTTCTGACCAGATGAAGCTACCATATCTCTAGCACTAGCGTTGTCTTTATTTTCTTTACTCGACATTGACCTTTTTTATTTTGGTAATCAGCCCTGCTAGTTGTGATTCATGTCAAAAAAACTTTTGAAACAAAACACAAACTTCTGTAAACTTTAAATTTTTGCCAAAATTGGAAGTACACTGCATTACTGATTGTATTACTGATGTCTCTCGAGTGAGACTACATGTTAAGTATCAATGATATGAGGGCCTACATACACGGACTTTACACGCATTTTATGCATATGTAAAGTACTACCACACGCTATCGGAATTGAAGCGTGTTTGCTCTTCACCAGTGCGCATGCTGTGCGTGTGGAGTACGTTAAAGCAAGTATTTCTTGGCTTTCTACGAATTACCCTTTATACTACTTATGTACAAATCAAAACTAACATAGGCTATTGTGTTTATTATCCTTCATTTTACACAATGCCATTCACAGATTTCGGAGACCTTCTCTCACTAACAATATTCCCTTTGCAGCTATGCTGTCAGGTGACCTACTTGTCATAACATTATAGGGTACAACTCAAACAATGCCAGAAATGGAAAGAGCGTGTAGAAAAAAGCTCTGTGCCCAAAAAAGAGGCACCTGGCATTGAAGAATAAGATTTTACAATGGTTTATAAAATAACTCAGGTTCTACACATGCTCTGGTTGGTCGATACAGTTGGCAAACCTATGTACTCTTGTAATGGTAAACTCTGGCTTTCTTATATGACAGCACTATGCTTGACTATGCATAAGGACAAAGAATTACCTTTGACTTTTTGTGTCTTTTGGTTTACTTGATGATTATGACATAGGATAATAATTCTCATAAATGACTGCAAGGAAAACTTCCTGAGGGTGGATCTCAAAAATGGAAATTCTGGCCCACCCCAGTTGGAGCAAAGGAATCAGAGGAAAAAACCAAAAACACAGAAACAAACATATGCAAAGGGACACAATAAACAGTTTTTCTTTCACCAGACTGGTATAACATTAATAACACCCATGTCTTTTCATTTAGTTAACATTTACTCAGAAACCTTATTGTTAAAGCCTGTGAAGAGTCCTTGGATGCGCTGGAATTATACTTCTAGTTTTATGTGCTTTCAGTGCTTTCAGTTAAGTCTGTTATTTAGTGAAAACGAAGAAATATGGAATAAATAAATTCGTAATAAATTTCTAAAGCAGGGTTTCTGGAACTAACCTTTATTCTCAATACCTTTGTCAGTCTGTGAAGTTTGTAAACTTGCAAAATTTTTTGTAGTCTTGTATTTTCAGGAAAAATGACTTGTGCCATAATTTACTAGATTTCCATCTTAGAGAACTTTAAAATCATTGGATACATTGAACTGTGGCAGTTTGCCTTTTTCCTTTCCTTAAGTATGACTTTTATAGCTTTAAGAGAACTTTTAAATGTTTTTGTCGTCTTGATATGTGGATTTTGTGTGTGGTGCTAAACCTGTACCTGTGTCTTATTCTTTCAGCATCTGTGATTGGTTAACCTTGTTGTCCAATGAACTTGTTCAGAATAAGACGTTTGATCACAAAATAGGATCTAGATTCCTATTTCTTTGAAGAACCTTTCCCATAGTTATTTCATAATCTCAGTAGTTTAATGTTTTAGTGTGAAAAGGCGTGGGTGTTGAGATCTGGTTCTCAAGTAAAAAAAATCACTATCTGCAATGCCTCTACCACCTTTTGAACAACAAGAAAACATTGAAATGATGGTAAAAAAGCAGCAAGTTTCAAAGTCTAAATGAAAGATGGGTAAGCTGAGTTTCAGTCAAATGTCATGACATTTGGGATTTAATTTCGACACCAAATAAATAGTTATACATGGTTATACATGCAGAGGATTCTGTTTTGTTCGTGTGAAGGTCATTTCAGCTATTCCTGCCACTTGTAAGTCATAGGAAATAAAAATATGCATACTTGTTTCATATTGAAGCCCTGTGAAATCCCAAATATGATTTATTTCTTCTTTGTTTTAGGTGGTCATTATCCATTATTTTTGGAAGTCAATGCTGATGAGAAAGAAAAAAATGTTTACAGTTATTTCTTCTCTCGAACATTTTACTATTTAGGTACCAAATAATCTTGATACTGAAGATCATTGCATCCAATTATGAAAAAATCACCCCTGATTGCTTTGCCAACTTGAATGTATGATGTAATATAGCTTGTGATTTGTGGGATTTTCATAAGTAAACTAGAAATACCTTTAGAGGGTAATGATGTACTTAATGCAAAGCGTTTTGGTACAAAGTCTGCTTTGCTGTAATCTACCTGAAGGTGCATTTTATATGCTAGTAACACTTGCACAGACCAGTCAAAATGTTT